TTTTTTTTTTCACTTCTTGAATTTTCTGTTGCCTAGTCTCATCAATAGGTTGCTGTGGGCAGATCCACAGAGATTACAAACCTAGGTCTCAAGAGGCTATTCGTGACTGTCACTTTTGGAATCCAGCCACCACCATGTAAACAATTCCAGGTTGGCTCGCTGGGTAAAAAGACATCTGGTCATGTTCTTTGTTTTATCCAAGCTACATGAGTTTAGCCCATAGAAATGGGAGTGGGGCCATTCTATATGATCCATTTGAGCTAAGAGCTCCCCACAGCCATGAGGAAGACCAGGTGAAAACAGACCGGTCTGGTGCAGGCAGAATTGAATAAATACAGTTCTATATGGGTTTCAGTTCTGATTCCAATACATGATAACTTTATAATATTTAGATATTGTTAATAAGTTCTCAACTTACAATTTTTACCTCTAAAAATGTTAGAAATTTTCAAGTATTATATGGATAAGATGCATCAAGTCCAGAAGCTTGAAAAAAATATAATAGGAGCTATTTATTCCAAAGGAAAGGATAATAATTGCATAATTTTTGCAAGTTAATTATCTGGGGAAAGGAAATAAGGTCAGGCTTCTACAAAGAGGCAATATAAACCAGGTCTTGGTGTCATTCAGAGAGTCCTGCTAAATTTTACAAATTTATTAATTTTGTTTTCTACACTCCTGTAATTTTTTTGGTTCGCACAGTTTGCCTACTTTTATTGTGATGAGTACCTTTAAAATTCATATTAGCACATTACAAGTATGCAATTCAGTATTAGTAAGTATAGCCAGTGTGCTGTGCATTTGATCTCCAGCACTTATTTATTTATTTGTAGCTGAAATGCTGTGCTTTTTGACCACCTTACCACCTTGATACTTTCCAGCTTCTGGTAGCCACCAGTCTACTCTCTGTCTCTATGATTCCACAGTTAAGGTTAAACTTGTTTTTCTCCATCAGACTTATTTCACTTAGATAATATTCTATATGTTCATCCATGTTACAATGCCATGTTTAGTGGAAATAGGAAAAAAAATCTCATGGTTTATGTAAGCTAAAAAATCTCATATAGCTAGATCCAACTTAAGAAAGAAATAAACTGGAGGTATCCTGCTTCCTGATTTCAAACTCTTCCAAAGCTATAGTCATTAAAACAGAACATGACTTGTATAGAAGCAGAATCATTAAGAGCCCAGAAATGCCATTAATTCTTGATAATGTGACCAAGAGTACACAGCACGAAAAGAAGAGTTTCTTTGATATGTATATATGTATAACTCCTGCAAAAGAATGAAATTGGACCCATATTTCCTACTACTTGAAATGGACTGAAAACATAAATATAAAAACTTTAATTATAGCCACTTAGAATAAACATAGATGGGAGGTCCTTGATATTTGTCCTTGATATTTGTCTTTGGATATGATCCTAGAGGCAAAGAGAGCAGGTGCAAAAATGAACAGATGGGATTGCACATATTTTTGTAATTTGACAAAGAAGTGACATTCTGAGGAGTACAAAGTCCATTGACTGGTGACAGTTTATGTAGAGTGCTAACATTCTATGAGAAGAGTTGATCATCATGTTTAAATGTAATTTGGGTGTAGTTCTAGTGCTAATTACATGGGTAATTTTGGAACAGTCGATCTCCTTCAAGGAACACATATAAGTTTTATTGTTGTTGTTCCTTTCGGAAGCACAGACTTTCTATGATTCCAATTTGTTAACATCTGTTATAGACTCTGTAAGAAAAGAATAGACCATCTCATGTTGCAATACTGTGTGGCAGAGCAGATTAAGAAAATTCATATGCACATATATCTTCTCTTATATGGGATAATATAATCATTTTGGTTGAAGTGAGAGTATCAAGATGACTGCATTCTTTTCATTTTGATATTTTTATTCTCATTCTTTCTCACCTAAAATAATAAACTTTAAGCTTGTGCACATTCCCTAAGTTCTTTATCTGCAAATAATAAATAGATTTGAAGTTTTGGGAATCATGCATCTCTTTTGAGGGTATTATAAAAATAATAATAATTCTCTATATACATGTAAACACATATGTATAACATTTATATATAGGTCTGCATGTATACACAAATATGAAAATATTCACAAACCCAATTTTTTTTTTTGTATTTTGTGCACATGATTCCCAGGTTAAAAATTCTAAGATTCAAAGATAGCCATGTTTATGTATAGTGCTAACAATCTATAAAAAGAGTTGATTAATTTAGCATGCTTAAAGATGGACTTCCAATCTTCACTTCCAAAACAGATTTGTTTATTTCTTGAATTGGGAACCAACCTATTTCCTTTGTTTCCTATTAGCTCTGAATAACCCAGCAAATACCTGTGTTCCTATCTTTGAGCCCTATCCTAATTTGTTCTCTTTTAACCACCTGCACTGCTGCCACCTGGTCTAAACCAACATCATCTTTTCAAGGAGTCAATAGCTTCTAACTTGTCTACACCCTTATTTTCCTATAGTCTATTTCAATAGAGCATCTAGAAGGATACTTAAAAGTACAAGGGAGGGAACAGGTAATATGACTCTTGGATTTAAAACATGTGAAACTCCCAATTTATTTTAAGTACAAATCAATTTTTTTTTTTACAATGGCCATGAAGTCATTCATGGCTTTACTCTGCAAGTTGCAATATTCTGACCCTCATTCCTCTTTTGCTTTGTTCCAGCCTTATTGACTTTCTCAAAATTTCACCAACATGACATTCTGCTGTAGTATCAAAGATTACTGACCATTTGTTTCTTCTGCCTGAAACATCCAGATACATGCGTGGCTCATCCCCCTACTTCAAGTGTTTTTCATGTCATTTTCTAACCAAAGCCCATTCTGATAACTATTTTATGTGCCTCAATCACTTTCAACCAACAGTTTCCATCTTATTTTCTTTGTTCATATTTCTCTATCACCACCACCCCACTGATTATATAGTCATCTCCTAAGTAATTGAATTGATTTTTTTTCCTGAGCACAATGCAATATCCTAAAAAGAGTTTTATTTTGCATTCTGCTATAACCCAGCATATAGAATTGTTTCAATGAAAAGAGACCCTTAGTAAATCTTTCTACAATAAATAAATGGGGGAATTTTACTTATATCTTGAAATTATTTTTGTCTAACGTATTGTCTACTTTTAACCTAGTTCAAAGCATTCAGGTTATAAAACTACTGGTCATTTGAGTTTACTAGCACAGTGTACTGTTATCACTGCCAAGAAGGAAGAGTAAATGAAAGAGAAGATGCATTCTCAAGACCTCAAATCCATACAGAATTTGAGAGAAGTTGCCAATTGAAATGGAAATGTGAAATGATAGGCCTAAGATACGTCAGAGCTTTTCATGTTAAAGTCTCCTACATAGAATGGATCATTGAGCGGCATCTTACCACATAGCAGTTCTCTCAGGAGAATTAAAAATTTTATGGAAATAATATGACCTCTGAAACCTGAAAAATGAGAAGAAATGAAACTTTGTACACTAGAAGTCTGGAAGACAGAGCAGAACATCAATGAGAGTTGAAAGTATGGCCGGTTTTGTCCTCTAAATTTCTCTGCTACCCAAGTGAAAACTGCATGGTCTGACGAAACTACTCGGATTGAATTTTATAT